GCCAATTCATACCTCAAAAGCATATTATCACTGGTCATTGTTGCCTTCAAGAATTTTCTGCATAAATTCTTGCACTCGGTGACATTGTATTTATTGCTGAGATTCATGATTGCATCTACATTTTCTATGGTCAAATTCACCGTTCCAAAGTAGAAGAAACGAAGGAATTCTTTAAAATTCGCAACATCTGCATCGACGATTTTCACTTCATTTTTCTCTTTCCATGATTCATTGAACATTGTGTGAAAAACGTCACTGTGTGCAGCCAGGATAATTTTATGGGACGGCACCCGTCCAAGTTCTTCATCGTTTACCACGAAGACAATTTGAACATCAGCAAACTCCTTGCTAAGGTAGAACTTCTTTCCGAGTTCAGAAGTTCCGTCAGGACTTGCCACATTGGTCGTTGCTACTTTGGAAATTGACATTTTTTTATTGCTTTGGAGGTTTGATAAATTGATGTGTGATTAATGTAGATCCTGAAATGAGGAAAAAATGTTCTTTTCTGATTATTTTTTTCCTGTTTCAATGCAATTCAAATATATTAAATGTATTTAAGAAGTACGAAATAGAAAATGATAGTAAAGATATACGAAATTTAAAAAATGTCACTTGATGAAAAGAAAATAAACTTTTTAGGTGAAAATGGAATGAAAACAATTATCTATGTCGACAGACGAAATGCGAATGATAGTGAACCAACAAACATCTCTTCTATGCGTCGGTTGTTAATTAGTAAAGCGGTTTTGTTACCGGTTGAAATGTTCTGGATAAATGAGTGCTGCAAATGACTGTTGTAGTTCCAATACAATCCACTAGTGTTTTAAAAAACAATGTTAACTATTACTCGTCATTATGGTTGTGAAATATAGTATTGTAATTTTTAGTCATCTCTAAAGAAATATTTTAAAATTTTAAATTATGGATATTTCTTCAGGTGCAGACACCAATAATTTGAGCTTTTAAAGCGTGGGTTGATTTTCCAAAAACTAAAAATTATCTCATTTGAATAACAAATTTCGTTTTTTTTGCTCTTCACTTTTTTGGCGAATATCCCTAGCAAATCGAAGGAATTTTCTCCGTGAAAAACCCCCTTTGGTTTTTGTATTAACGTCCGCGCCATGTGCGATTAGACTTTTAGAAGCATTCAAATATTACAGATTTAAAAAAGTAAGAACAGAAAATTATTCTTTTTGAACTTTATACATTTGCGTCTTAAGATTCATAATAAATATGACACAAAAGCGCAGAAAAGTTAAAAATTTAGTGGTAAATCAGAGTCTTTGTCTAAGGAATGAGATTAAACCATTTTTTTATTATTGGAAAACGTCTTTTTCAAATTAAATGAATAAGCACTGATAGTACTTATTTTACTCGGTATCTTATCATAAATGGTTTTAGCATTCATTCGGTTATTATCAATACATGATATAATTACATAAAATCGGTTTAAGCTTGATTATTCTACTCTCTGCTTTTCAGATGAAAGTGACTTTACATTTCCTATAAGTTTTCGTACATTTTCTTCTTTCCAATAATGTATTCATAAATTTCGAGAAACTCTCTAGAATGTTAATAATATATATAATAATCTTTATTCACCGCCAAAACTGGCTGAATCATTTGAGTTTTCACAATTTTTTATACATTTGTTGGTGGGAAAAAGGTATGAATCAGTGATATACTATGGTAAACATCTGATCACCGTTAAAAACCACATCTTTTCAATAATAATCATACGACCACATACGATATTCTAACGGTCAAACGAAACAGTTTTGATTAAAAAAGGTCTCTATTAAATAATAATTTTCATTATTTTCGTCTTTTGCATTCTCATCTGCTTTATTATCAATCAATACCCTTTGCGCTTCTTTATTGCCTGAAAAGTGAAAACAAATTCTACATTAGAAATTCACATTGTTTTATTTATTGAAATGTTTAGACTTACCATATAAGTAAGCCATATGAAGAGGCGTGTATACGAACCTCTTTCCGTTTCCACTTATGGCATTGACATTAGCTCCTTGTTTGATCAGATATTCAACCAATTCCTTAGTACCTAAAACATTGGTCGAATGAATTTAATACTTTGGCGCATTGATCGTACACATATAATATTAATTATTCAAAAACATAAATAATTACTAAGAACAGCTGCGGCATGTAAGGGTGTAAAATTCACTTTAGTTTTTGCATTAACGTCCGCTCCATGTGCAATTAGACTTTTACAAGTATTCACTAGGGGGCATTCATACTAGAAAAACTAGTGAAACTAGCAGCAACTAGCAGCGACTAGCAAGCACTAGCGTATTATAGTCCAAAGCAAATGAATTGAGGCATGTAAAATATATTGTAGCATGCGTAAGTCGCTTGTAAACGAACCAAGTGAATAGCGGAGACGCACGAAAACGAAGTGAGTGAATAGCGACAACGAACGTTGTTATCCGTTGCCGCAATACACTCACTTCGTTATCGTGCGTCTCCGCTATTCACTTGGTTCGTTTACAAGCGACTTAAGCATTACTGTTGTTTCTTTTATGTATCATACGATACGTCTAGGTAATTTCAAAACACTAGAAAAACTAGCAGCTAC